CTCTTTCATTACTTACTCCATTCATCAATCTTTTTCTATCTATTATCAATCCATCCATCCATCCATTAAATCCATCAGTGGTGGGATTCCAAATTGCACACTACCGGTTCTGTGCACTTCGGCTGGGAGATATAGGCCGGGAAAGGGCAGGGGTGGGTGGGTGAGGCCAATCAGAGGTGGTATTTGCCAGTCCTCCAAACTGGTCAAAAATTTTCACTCCCAGTTCGTGCAAACCGGTCCAAACCGACCGAATACTACCACCTCTGCCATCCATCTATCCAATTACTCCATCCGTACAGATGAGAGATTTTTCAACTATAAGATGTAGACTTCAACTGATATAGATCTAACTTTAGAGATAGTCTTGACTTATGACTATTCGTTTAGTGACCATTCAAAGTTACAGTGGCGCTGAAAACAGTGACTTATGTCCATTTTTCACGCTTACGTCCGCTGCAGCCTTCCTACGGCCACATGATCAAAAATCAGACCCTTGGCAACCGATTCATATTTATGATGCCCGAAGTGTCCCGGTGGTCACAAGTCCATGGGGAAAGCCAGATTCATTTAACGACCAGGTTACTGACTTAATGACTGCCGCGATTCACTTCACGGCGGTGGCAAGAAAGGCCGTAAAAATGAAGCAACCCTCACTGCACACCTGTCTCGCTTAGCAATGGAAATTTTGGGCTCGGTTGCGGCCGTAAGTTGAGGACTTACCTATAATAGTGCTAGAATCGTACTTGGTTTTTTTTTCCTCCAGTAACCTAAGCTTACATTTCATGGAATAAATGGCTCATATTTGGCAAACAGGAACCTCATATTGCTGAAGCTATAAAAAAAAAACAACCCTGTGATTTAAGCAAAACTCGAATTTAGGCAAGCTATCAATTTTGCCTTTCTTTGACTGCTCCAGTCTCCAGAATAAAATAGCACCTTTTCCCCTACCTTCCTAGACAGATGCGTGGAATATTGTCATAAAATATTGTGGCCCATTAAGAGAGAAATTGCTATGGAGATGTCATTTTAAAAATTCCAACAGGAAACAAAGACAACGCCAGCAATAATTCCTACTTTAAGGTTTATTGTTTCTAATAATTTGGAGCATAAGAAATGAATAGATATTAAAGATATAATAGCAGTAATACACTTACATTAATAAGCCATTGCAGTGGGGTCCAATGACATACAGCAGGTTCTGCAAGGACTGCCATAAATCAAAGCCCCCGCACCCCAGCTGATCTCCAATCCTATCCTTTATACTTTCTTTCTAACCACATACGTGCTTCACAACTTCACTGTCACTTTCCGTGAACACCTGTGGACAGCACTTTCAGTTCCTCATTTCCAACAGTTTCATTCTTCCTGTTTTACAGGTATCCATGCAAGTGCATACTTTGCAAAAATATGTTGTCACAGTTAGCAACAGCTCATCAGGAAAGGAAGCACATAGTTGAGGAAGGAAAGGAAAGGGAAGAGGGAAGAGAAGGGAAGGGAAGGGAAGAGGGAAGGGAGGGGAAAGGAAAGGAAGTATATAGATGAGGAAGGAAAGGAAAGAGGGAAGTGAAGGGAAAGGAAAGGAAAGGAAGGGAAGGGAAGGAAAGGGAAGGAAAGGAGGAAGGGAAGGGAAGGAAAGAGGGAAGGAAAGGAAAGGAAAGGAAAGGAAAGAGGGAAGGGAAGGGAAGGGAAAGGAAAGGAAGGGAAGGGAAGGAAAGGGAAGGAAAGGGAAGGGAAGGAGGAAGGGAAGGGAAGGAAAGAGGGAAGGAAAGGAAAGGAAAGAGGGAAGGGAAGGGAAGGGAAAGGAAAGGAAGTATATAGATGAGGAAGGAAAGGAAAGAGGGAAAGGAAAGGAAAGGAAAGGAAAGGAAAGGAAAGGAAAGGAAAAGACAGGAAGTACATAGATGAGGAAGGGAAGGGAAGGAAAGAGGGAAGGAAAGGAAAGGAAAGGAAAGGAAAGAGGGAAGGGAAAGGAAAGGAAAGGAAAGGAAAGGAAAGGAAGGGAAGGGAAGGGAAGGAAGTACATAGACGAGGAAGGAAAGGCAAGGAAATAAATTGATGGGGAAAAGGAATGAAAGGAAAGGAGAAAAGAAAAGAAAAGAACAGGAAAGGAAGGAAAATGAAGGCGGGAAGAAAAACCCATTCACCTCCGTCTCCTGCCGGGATCCGGTGGAAATTCAGCGGGAAACCTCGGAGGATCAAATCGAGATTTCATCCAGAAAAGCTCAGCGCCCAGCCAGCCGTCCGCCGCTTTCCCCGAAGCGGGGAGACTCCAGCGCGGCTCTCTTTTCCATCCGCTGCTCGCAAATCCTTCTCGGGCTGCTGGCTTGTTTCTCTCTCTCTCTCTCTCTTTTCTGTCCTACAATCACCCTTCCGCGATAGTTATAAAGTTCAGCCTTGGCTCTTTGGAGGAGGAGGAGGAGGAGCGGGGGGGGGGCGGCTGTTTTGCAACGAAACGATCCGCCAAGGGGCTTCAAAGGACAAGTCGCCCCCACCCCACCCCACTTTCCAACCCCCCCTCCCCTTTGTTTGCAACTGATCGCTTTGCTACAGTTTCGGGCTCAATTTTAAAAAAATAAAAATAAAAATATCGCCAAGGCGAAGTCGTCTCCCTTCTCGACGTTGGAGAAGCTGCTCGGACGCGGCTTCGGTTCTTTGCAAGGCAGGAATGAAGCGGTGCGAAGCCCCCCCCTCCTCCCCCCCCGTTCCCCCCACCCCCCAAAAATAAAATATAAAAATAAAATAAATCAAGCTCAAAAGCCAGCCACCTACCCGACCTCGGCTTGCTTTCTCGAATAAGAGGATCAGCCAAAAAGGAAAGGGGAAAACTTTCGCTTGCCTGGAGGGGAGGAGGCGTCCCCCCTCTTCTCCCCCCCTCCTCCCCTCTTATTTGGCCCCCTCCCCTTCCAAACTGGAGGGGGGGGAGGGAAGAAACCGGGCTTCCTTTTTTTTTTCTTTTTCTTTTGAGGAAGGGGGTCCCTGCGGCTTTGCTTGCCGCTTCCTCTCGGTCCAATCGTTGCAATCTCAGCACGGATCTTTTTTTGCAAAAGAGGCGCCGTTTGCAAGCCGCCGCCGCCCCCCCCCTTCCCTTTGGGGTGAGAGAGAGAAAAGAGAAAGAGGGAGAAGGAAGGAGGGAGGAAGAGAGAGGGAGGGAGAGAAAGAGAGGAGGGAGGGAAAGAGAGAGCGGGGGGGGGAAGAGAGAAGGAGAGAAAGAGAGAAGGAGGGAGAGAGAAAGAGCGGGGAAGAGGGGGGAAGGAGGGAGAGAGGGAGAGAAGGAGAGAGAGAAAAAGAAAGGGAGAGAAGGAGGAAGAGAAAGAAAGAAAGAAAGAGAGAGGGAGAGAGAGAGAAGGAGGGAGGGAGAGAAAGGAGGGAGGGAAAGAGAGGGGGGGAGAGAGAAGGAGAGAAAGAGAGAAGGAGGGAGAGAGAAAGAGGGACGAAGAGGGGGGAAGGAGGGAGAGAAGGAGAGAGAGAGGGAGAGAAGGAGAGAAGGAGGAAGAGAAAGAAAGAAAGAGAGAGGGAGAGAGAGGAGGATGGAGGGAGAGAAAGGAGGGAGGGAAAGAGAGGGGGGAAGAGAGAAGGAGAGAAAGAGAGAAGGAGAGAGAAAGAGGGACAAAGAGGGGGGAAGGAGGGAGAGAGGGAGAGAAGGGGATAGAGAAAAAGAGAGGGAGAGAAGGAGGAAGAGAAAGAAAGAAAGAGAGAGGGAGAGAGAGAAGGAGGGAGAGAAAGGGAAGGAGGAAGAGAGCGCGAGAGAGAGAAGGAAAAAGAGAGAGAGAGAGAAAAAGAGATCCGCAGCAGCTCTTTCCCGTGTCTTTCGG